CATATACTGACTAACTTAGTAAAACAAAATTTTATCACTCTGAAAACTTCAAGTAGATAAAATAAATAATACAAACTTTACAAAGTAAATTTGATATAATATATTCTTACACAGCAAATAATATATATTTTGCTGAGATGTGAAAGCACATAACTTTTTAAAATAAAAATCTAGATAAAGATTTATACTTACAATTGTTAAAAATAAGTTGTGCTACTAAAATCTCAAAACCAAATAAATTATTCTATTTTTAATTGTATCACAACATTTTTTTAGGACTTAGTAAGAAATTATACAAATAAATATGAATTGGTGATTGTGGCAAAAAAAAAAAAAAAAAAATACTTCAATATCTTTTAATCCACAATGACATCATATACTATTTATTATACATCATTTATTATCTAGTTTTAATCAAAAAAAATTAGCCCAAACATTCTTTTAAAACATTTTCTTTACCATAAATACAACCTGTGTTGGTATTTAGGGATGCTTTTAAAATCATAATGAATACCTGATTATTTATTTTATGAAAAAAAAGTTTGAATTTTTTAACATACACCGTAAATAATATTGTAAAGCATAGTATAATTACCACTTGGGCTAAAAGCTCTTTTTCCTTCAATCCAAGATTTCCAATACCAGAAAGAATTAACTTTGCTTCTTGCAATCTATTTAACCTGTACAAGCAGTAACTTTTCTCAAAAGGCATGGAAAGAAGTCTAAATAAATATATTTTCATTAAATATAAATAAAAATGTAATTTACATCATAAAAAAAATAAATTATAATCTTAGTTATAAACTAATAGAAGTTATAAGTTATAAATAATATATAACAATAACAGACCTTGGCAGGAATGACAAGTGATTGCTCTGCCTGACTGCGCTTAAAATACTTTATACCAACAACTTGCCCATGGCTTTAATTCTTTTAGCGCCTATTTAAAGTATCTAAAAAGCTGTGGGCAAGTTGTCACATTAAAAAACTATAACCATGGTCAGACAGAGTGATTGATTGCTTGCCGTTGCCGTTTAGGCCTGTAATAATAATAATAATAATAATAATAATAATAATAATAATAATAATAATTATCGCTGTCTGGTTGTCTTATTCCGCATCCGAAACGGTACTTTCATTTAGGCCACAATAACATTAAAATTTTCACAAAAAGTGATGCAGAAGTGAATAATTATTAATTCTAAATGAAAATACATTTCAAAAAACTTTTTTTTTCACCATTTGTAATCAATATAGGGGTCGTCAGCGGAATAGTACAACCACTTTAACATGGCATTATCTGTTGTTCTAAAAACAATCACTTTGAATTAATAGTATTATTAGACTTTTTACATGCTAATTGTAAAAGTTGAAACTTCCTAATGCTAATCACCGATGTTAAAATATTAGAAATTGATTTTTTTTTTAAATTCAAGTCAATTTGCTGCGGTATTATGATCGCCGTTTTTTTAATTCACTTTAGCAATTATGTAAACAACAACAAAAATTATAACGTAATATATGAATATATACAATTATACAATTTAAAACTTAGATCACTTCAGATAAAATTGGGTTGCACCATTCCAAGTTTGCTAAGGTATTTTAAGAAAAATTAAAAAAAAATCATGAAAATTGTGTTTGAAGATGTCATTTTCAGAATAATACAACCCTGACATCCGCTACTGTTATTAGTAGCCTGATATTAAAAACTTGCATAACATCAGCGCTCACGATGAGCAGCTTATAGAAAGTAAGGTAGTTTGTTATATCGTATTTGAAGAAAGTTGTATTTTTAAAGACAATTGTTCAAAGAAATACGTGTCAATAATAATAATAAAAAAAAAATATTAAAAGCTTTACATATTCATTATGGATTGAAAAAAAAGTTCAACACTCTGCAAAGTCGCTTCATTGAAGACTGCTTATGATATGCAGATACAGGTGGATACTGTTATGGAAAAGTTTTATACTAAATTTACTTTTAATGTGTTATAAAAATGCTATTGATTTGCTAGATAGCCTTAACTCTTGAAATAAGAATAAAATGTGTATATGAATATATATTATAAGATATACCCAATGTTAAGTCTTTATACTGCTTACATTTTACTGTCAACTCATACTTCATACTGCACTTCATTAAAGAGCAGTAATTTTTTTTAATTAAAATCCATACAATTATTATGCAGTTAGGATAGATAAAAAATGGTATTTTGCTACATATGTAATGGGGATGCTTCTCAATCTGGCACCATTTGCACATTATGCAATTTACTGATTGATGTAAAATGTCATGGAGGAACAATTGGAGATGGGTATGTTGTTTGCAGAAATTGCTGTGGTGTTACCAGCCCAAATTCATTTATTGAAAAAGATAAAATTGTTGCTAATGGTAACTATTATTTTTATAGTGATTTTTTAAGTTGTAAATTAATAAATTTTATAATAGTAATGATTATAATGTGATGTCTAAGATAAATTATTGTATTAATAAATAAAAATGATATAGTTTTATTTTGAAATAGTTTTACTATTTTTATTTAAATAAAATTAAATAACTTTTTTCAAAGACGGTAATCTTTGAAAAAATTTACTTAAAGTTATATATTTTAAATTTTATTTGTTTTAGCTTTTCAACAATTTACTAAAAGTTTAATTGAAGAAGTTGCATCCTCTCGTGCCCTTAAATTAATATTTTCTGGAGAAGTTTGCTTTTTTTATTTTTAACCATGTCTTGTATAACCTGGGAAAAATAATTTAGCTAAAATTTTATGTCAAGATTGCATAAGTTATCTAGTAAAGTAAATATACTTTTTATATAAGTTATCTAGTAAAATAAATTTACTTTTTATAAAACTTTGCTGAACTAGGGAAATATTTTTTTAGTATAGCAAGTAAAAATAAATAATAATAATATTAAATCATATTTTGAAAAAACATATATTTTTCGATACATGATAGTTCAAAAAAAACCATGCAATAGTTATATTGGGTGAGATTGCAAAGGTTATACAAGACCCAATCATATATTAAATTATTTTTTTATATAAAGTGTTGTATTTATAAAAAATTTTAACTACATAAGTTTGTTAGAAATGTTACTGCCTCATGTTAAAATTTAACTTTTATATAAATATTATTTTTTAGAGATATAGTTATAGACACAACCTTTTTAAAAAAGGAGGCGCTGCTAAAAGTATGAATAATTTTTTAATGTTATTTTTTTATTAAAAAACTTTAACATGCCTCTAGGCTCATTCTTTTTTGTCTTATCTAAATGATTATTATCATTGAAACATCTTTTAAAGTATTGTCCAAATATTACGGTACTTGACGAAAAGTTTAATAATAATTCAAAAAAACTATAAGTAACTTGAACAGATCAGTGTTGATAAGTTAGTAGACTCAATGTGTTATAAAAAAGTTTAGAGCTTTATAAAACTTTTTATACATTGCCAGACAAAAAAAAAAAAAAAATTTATGAGTTAATTTTTAATCAGTTAAAATAATTTTAGAAACAATGAGTGACGTTCCATTATTAGATCTGTTATCAGAAAAACAAGCAGACATCCTTTCAGCTGCAATGGGGAAAAACTTTCAATTTAAGGTTTTTTTAATTTAATATGAACTTTATTATAACTTTATTTGAATTTTCTTATAAATTTGTTTAAAATATGTATTTTTATTGTTTTTTGGGCTTTTAGTTCAATAACTATGTCTACAAAGTTTTAATGCCTGAAGCAATAATTCAAATGTTTGCCAAAGTTCAAGGCTGGTCACAGATTTATGTATAGCAAAAGTTTTAACTATATTAATAAAATATTTACTAATTTAGTAACTATAAATTAATAGTTGCTATTTTTTTATTGTTGTAAATATATTTTATAATTTTATAAAATATTTAAAAAATACTATTTCCTTTAGTCTGAAGTATTCCTAAATACTTATATCAATGAAAGGTATCTATCAGTTTTTTATACTATTTTTGTATATCCATGCTTTTAAATTTTTTATATAACTAGCAGCAATGGTTCATGTTATTACATACATTAAACATTAAAAACGTTAGTGTGTATAACGTAAAGTGTAAATAAATAATACTCTTTCAGTTAAATTTAACGATAAGTATATTTTTTAATTAAAACAAATCCTCGTTTTCAATCTCTTTCTTTTTTAATTTGTTTATTTATATTTTAGAGATAAAAAAGAAGATATCGTTGAAACTAGTTTTTCATCTGATCAATGTAGTGAATCTGGTAGAAAACAATAATAATATAAAGTCAATAATTTTAGAATATTTTGATTTGCAAAACTACTGATGATGAGGTAGAATAGATACGATAGAAGTTGGTTAATGATTAGGTAGAATAAATAATGGAAGAAATAATGGTAGAAAATTTGATTGAAAATCATCATTCATCTGATGAATCTGATAGAAAACAATAAGAGCATAAATTTAAATATTGAATATTTATTTGTATATTTAAATTTTGATTTTCAAAACTATTTAATTCTTACAATTTTTGAAAAATCTTTTTTAATTCAAGAACCAAAAAAATTTTTCAGATTGTGAAGATTCATTCCAGAACATGATTGAAACTCAAAGAAAAGAAGCTGAATTAAAAAGTAAGTTTAATGTAAATTCTTTACTTTTTTTTCGTTCACTTAGTTTTAACATAAATGTTTAACATTGATTTTTTTTTTTAAAGAAGTAGAAAATTTAAAAAGATGGTCTGAATACCTGAAGCCGAGCACTTCTGGTACTAGATGTTTTGTTACTTTTTAGTATTTTAAGAATTATGTTTCTATGATGTCCAGTTTACATAATCAAATAGTAACTTCAATTTTATTTTTTTAATTTTTTTTTAGCATCAATTTCTATAAAAAGTTATTTTAGGGAAATTTTTTTTTAGGAAAGTCGATTTTAGCCAAAGATGTTTGGAAAATGGTTAATAATCAAAAAGATGATTCGGTAAACAAAACTAAAGTTTACTGAAGCTATTTTTTAAATGTTATAATTTTTCATGCATGTAGTTAAATACAACATTCTTTCCAGATTCAATGCAACAGAAAGTTAAAAAGATCGTTTGTGGAGACTAATGGTTATTTTAATTAATTATTTAAAAGTTTATAATAATATTTATATAGAATATGTAATATTCTAATATAAATATTATTATAAAATTTATGATAATATTTATATAGAATATATGGTTTTTATTACTGTTTTTTATTATTTCTTTTGTTTTAAATTATCAGAGACCTTGTCAAGTTTAAGGAATACAGATAAAGGTTAAATAAAAATTTTTTGGAAATAGTTTTATCATTTATAATAATTGTTTAGATTATTTTATAGTAATTATCTCTTTAGGTTTCCAGTCTGATATAATAAGTGGTCTGGAAGAAGAAATAGAAATACTACAAAGCAAATTAAAAAAAGCTGAAAGAGCAGCCGAAAGAGAATATATGTCAGACAGTAGCAATCAATCATTGATAAATACAAATAAAACTATTAAAATCACACAAAAAAAAGACTTTCAAAACCTTTTTAAAAAAAGAAAAGATGAGCAAAACAGAAAAAAAGTTCGAGCTTGTCTTGAAAAGTATGTGGGATCATCAGAAACTGTTAAATCAAGAAATGCTAAAAATAATTGCAGGGTTTTTGATATTATTTGTCCTGATTGTGAAGTGAAGCAAACTCGTTTATCTAATCACTTAATTTCTAAACATCAGTTTTCAAAAGATGATGCATCATTAAAAGAAAGTGAACTAAGAGTTTTGTTTTTATGGGCACAAAAAAATAAACATGGTGTAGCAAAGCCACTGCCATGCCTTTTGTGTTTTAAATGGCACCTGCGTTTAGATAGCCATCTCAGAAACAAGCATAAAATGAACAAAGATCAAATAGTAAAGGTTACTTCTGAAGCAAGACAAAAATATTGGTTATTTGATTGTATAAATCAATCTAGCTCTTGTACTCAACTTGATAGAAACATTGAAAAAGAACTAAAGTCAACTGAAAATACAAATAGTGAAAAATATCAAAGCTTTTTAACATATACACCAATTGGTGCCAAAAGAATATCTAAAGAAAAAATGATTGAGTGGGATATCCAAAATGAAAATTTCTCATTATGTTATGAAAATGCTTCAGATCTACTAGATGGTTTTAAAAGTGAATTAAGCAAGCGACATCCAATAAGCAGAGCATTAGCTTATCGCAACCATGTTGAATCCATTTGGTTTGTTATAGATGGACAAATGAACATTTATCCAAAATCAGCTTTCAGTAATGTTTTACTAGTTGAAGACATTTACCATAATCCTAGTGTTACCCAAGTTAATAATGGTGGAAACGAAGCATCTAGTTTAAGAGTTAAGTTTGTTGCTCTCAGATTATTTTTGAAGTTTTCTCTTAGAAGGCATGTGTTTATAGGGCTCAAACGAGAAGATATAAATAACTTGAGAGAATATATGGAGGAGTGGAATTCAGATCTAACGAAGCCAATAGCACAAAGAAAAACTGACATAAGAAAAATCAAACTCAAAAGACTGATGACTCCCTCACATATGATAAAGTATGGGCGGTCAGTTCATGTTCAAGGAATAATAAAATCTTTGAATAAGAAAATAAATTGTAATGATAACAAGCTTAAACTTACAAAAAGATTTTCACAACAAGTTCGTGATTATTTGATTGCAAATATTTGCATTATGAATGGCTTACGTGCATCAAATATTATAGAACTACGAACACAAGATGTTTTTGACGCAACTACAAATCCTGAATACCCAGGCTATAAAGTTTTTGTAAATTCTACATACAAAACATCTACAATTTATGGAGAAAAAGTAATTGCTTTGCCTATTGATATATTCAAGCATCTAGAGTTTTATATAAAAGAACTATTGCCTATATTAAATCAATCAGAAGCGTCCTTTTTATTTATTTCATCTGATGCAGAAAAAATGACACATGGTGCAATAGGAAGTGCTTTAACATCAACATTTAGGCAAGCTCTGGTGTTTGGTGCTACAGAGTACCCACGAGTTTGTCCTACAAGAATTCGCTGTTCATGTGCAACATTTGGCTGCAAAAGTGAGGGAATTGATAGTGGATATTTTGCAAAGCACTTTATGAAGAATAAAGAAGACACTACACAAATTCACTATAATCTTTTCTCAAATCATAGAGAAGCTTTAAAACTTGCTATGATGGTTGGAAATACATTTGAGGTAGGTGATTTTAAAAAAGTTCTGGAAAAAAATGAAATTGAAGATCTAACCAATTCTATATATGCTGGTGAGAAAAATATACCTTCAAAGGAACACATAGTTGAGTGGTTAAATTTGAAAGAAAATGTTGGTTCAAAAGAAATGTCAGAAATAATGAATATATTAAAAGAAACTGAAAACAATACTTCTTCATTTTATGCCAATAATATACAAGCCGAAAGTTCAAAAGATCTGGTAATACTTAAAATAAGTTTTAGTTTAATAATCAAAAATTAAAATTAAATTTTTTTATTATTGTTATTTAACTCTTAGTCTTTAGATGAGCATTCAGATTCAGATATGTCAAGTGTATCATGTAACAAGGATGAATTGACTATTAATGGTTCAAGTAACCATTTAATGGTAATTACTTTTATTATTTTGCTTAACTCACTTATTTGTAATTATCTGATTTTTTTTTCAATTTTTCACTGAACTTTGATAATTACTGACTTTACCAAATGAGTCCTTTGTAAACCAACAGAACTTATTAGCCCAACTGAAAGTTTGTATCTAAAATAGTCTGTGAGAATGTTAATTTATGATATTTACTAATAGGACTTATAAGTCAAGCCATCTAGTATCAGGTTGTAAGAAATGTAGTTATTATTTTCAAACCCATTTTTGTATTTTCAACATGTCTACTGAAGCACGCATAATTATTCTTGGTAAATAAAGGGTTAAATATTTTGCTTTACTTTAGAGAATAGATAGGAATGAAGACTACATAGCTTTGTCTGATTCTGAACCAACTATTCTAGTCAGTGATTTTTTTTATAAAATGTTTCAAACATTTTTTTATTTTGTTTTATTTTTTATTAAAACTATTTTGCATTTTTTAAATATATATATATATATATATATATATATATATATATATATATATATAATATATATATATATATATATATATATATATATATATATATATATATATATATAATAGTTAATTTATAATCGATTTAAAACAAGAATAAAATTTAGGGAGACAGAAAGTCATTAGTTTGTTGCAAAACAAAAATATATCCAAAGAGAAACAGAAAATCGAGATTTGATATAGATGTTTTAGAAGAACAAAAAGTAGAAGAAGAAGAAGAAGAAGAAGAAGTAGTAAGCAAAAATTTTGTTAAAAATGTTTTTTTTTGTTTGTTTTGAAAGTGAAGGTTTTTGATTCGGAATCAAACTTTACTGAATAAATAGTGGTTAAATAACACCGATAACTTATCATTTTATAAAGCGAACTTGCCAAGATTTGAGTTTTGTAGAGGAGAGGAAAAAAAATGTTAAGTAGCCTTCCCATTGCTTAGTTTAGTTAAATTTATAAAAATAATTTAAAAAAATGTTTAAAAGATTCGGACTTGGGTATCATCAATAATAAAATTAGATAAATCTGTATGTGTTTTAATGCTAACTGATTATTTGTGTTTTTATGCATTTAGGAAGAAAAAGAGAATTTTGAACTTGAAATTTTGAAGCCAGATGTGTTACTTCCTTCTGGAATTTTAAGAACTTCAAATCCTAAATCTACAAATTTAAATTTAGATGCCAAGATAGAAACTGTAATTTCATCTATATTAAATTGCTTTATAAAAGTTTAGTTTTGTTTTTATCTCTTAAGATTCATAAACGTTTTCTCGTTTTATCAAACGCTATTTAGATACTACAAAAGTTTGATGTTACGCATAAGGATGATTTGGTAAAGGGGAGAAAGCACAGGAAATCTTTGTTTTTAATTTTAACTCAACTATGCGAAAAGCTCATAACTAGACGAGATTATGAAAACATTTACAAAACTAGAACATTTACAGCAGAAGAGGTAAAAGCATGTCTAAGCAAAGAGTCATGGGCGGAAGCAATTTTTCAATCAAATGATGAGCATTTTTGGAAATTTTTAGTTTTGAACATTTGCCAAAAAAGAGCAACTTGTATTGCAAACAATCAAATTTATAAACTTAAAAAATGGACTGATGATTCTAAAAAGTTGTTCAGCTGCCTAAAAAATATTACTTAAAACATTATGATTATGTATTTATAATGAAGATAAGAGATTAAATAATTTTAGAGTGTAATTTAGAGTCAATTTTTCTTATTTTTTTATTTTTTTATGGAAACATCTATCTTAACTTTTTGTGGAACTCAGTATCAATTTTTTATGAAATCATTTAAGAAGTAAGTTTCAAAAATAAAGGTTCTAGTTATCTTATTTCTTTTTTCAGGCAAATGAGTAAAGCTACTTCCTTTCACTACTTTGGTAGATATGATCACATTAGGTAAACCTCAAAATCTGATATTTACTTTTTGAATCTTAAACTAATCCAGGGTAATAATACGGAATACGGTAATCAACAAGTTTTATTATCACAAACTATGATCATATTAAAAGGCAGCAGGCTCAGCAAAAAACTAATTTATTTCTTTATTATTTATTACTATTTTATAAATCTATGGTTGGGCTATTCTCTTGACTAAGACCCTATCGAAAACTGTGAGGTAAAATTGAAAGCAAAAGTTTCTAAACTGAATCAACCTCACTAGCAGATTTAAAAAAAGTTATAAAAAAAGCATGATAACATAACATAGCGTCTGATAATTGTGAGTTTCTATTATCTTGTTATGCCGCTTAGAATAAAGACTCTTCTAAAAGTTTGAGAAATAAAGCAAATTACTAAAATATATTTTCACGTTTTTTTTTTTTCATTATTTTTGAATGTTCGTGTATGTTGTTTTTTGAATAAAAACATTATAGTAATAAATGCGTACATTATACTTTACAAAAATGGTGTTTAGCTATAAATAACGGGTCGTAGAACCTAGTATTCGCTCTACTTCTAAATCTTTTATTTTAAAACTCTAAGTTGAACATTTTTTAAAAATTCAATACTTCTTTATAAATTTACAAAAACTTTTTATCAAAATTTTATTTTAACTCTCAGATAACAAAAATTAACTTATAGATTACATTGAATGTTTCTTTATCATTTTATTTTATCATTTTAACTTTTCGTTTTTTGTATAATTTTATTTGTATAATCGTTTTTTATCAAATAAAATGAATAAGTGAAGGTTAAGTTTTTGTCTGGTTTTTTTCTTAATAAGTTGTTTATTTCTTTTTTATTATTAAATATAAAATCTTTTAAGTTGGTCTAATAAAAAATAAATTCTAAAGTCAGTAGCGGAATAATACAATTACTTTCAGACTTTCCGAATAATTCAACCTAAGTGGAAAATAACTCAACCAATTACGCGATACAACCATGATACAACCAAAATACAACCAAACGATGCATAACACAACCATTTTTATTGCAAATTGTAATAACACAACCATTTTCAGAATAATACCACCTCCGTGATAATAATAATAATAATAATAATAATAATAATAATAATAATAATAATAATGTTAATGATAATAATGAAAAAACTTAAATAAAAATTTACTGTTTCTTTTCTGCAGATACAATGACATCATGTGCTTCTTGGAAAAAAGATTGTTGTATCAGACAAACTATTTTGCATTTAATTGCATCAATATCATTTGGAAATGCTTTTAATACTAAATGAAAATAAAGAAAAAGATTTGTAAATTATAATGCAGGGCTTTTTATGAGATTTTTAAGTATAACAGAAAAGTGTGACACAAGTAAATGTAACTTTACTCAATAAGGAGCTATTCTAGGGAAAAAATATAGGCAGCGGTACCCCTCCGTCCTGGAGAAACTTAGAGGAAATATTGCTGAATATCCATGGAAAAAACAATATTAGCCATAAAATATGTAAAAAAAAAAAAAAAATTAAAAAAAAATTTTAAAATAAAAATTGAGGAACTTTTTTTTTTAGCATTATAAGTGACAATATTGATATTATCAATCAAAAATGAGCCAAAACAATAAATTATATTTATATACTTTATTGTTTTGGCTCAATATATATATATATATATATATATATATATATATATATATATATATATATATATATATATATATATATATATATATATATATATATATATATATATATATATATATATATATATATATATATATATATAAAAGTGATGTACCGATTAATTGGTATCGACATCAGCTAAATAGGCCATTTTTTACACAATCGGTATTAATATCGGCATCGGCCTTTTTTACCGATTTTCCAACCGATGGCATTTTGATATTTTTATCCTGCATTATTTTTTTATGCATTATTATAATAATTAAATAATAAACAAACTAAACTTTGTGCATTACTTAGAATTTTTTGGATAAATTTTTATTTTGACTTTGTTTACAGGCAAAAGCTATTTTTTTATGCATTATTATAATAATTAAATAATAAACAAACTAAACTTTGTGCATTACTTAGAATTTTTTGGATAAATTTTTATTTTGACTTTGTTTACAGGAAAACAAGATTCAGTCAAGCACTTATTAAATAGTTTAGAGAAAATTAAAGAGAGTTCTGGAGAACAATTTTGTAAGACTGTGACAGGAATGTTGTCTGGACCACAAGCCATAGAAGAGTTTAATCAAGATATGACTATGAGTAATGGAAGCTGAAATGATTCAAATGTCTAACATTAGATTAACTTGTTTAATTAGAATGAAAGGAAGAGAATGGCCATAAGATTCAAAAGCCAGATTAAAAGAGAATTGTTTTGCAATTAGTTCAGCCTTATTTCATGAATTTAAGTATAGCCAAGTATCAAGTATATTTCTGAATTTATAATTTTTTCATTTCAATTCACCTCCCTTCAATTGAAGATTTAACTTTAGTTATGGTTACCACCCATTTTCAACTTTAGAACTCAGAAACACAAACCTTGATGAACAATGCTGCTGCGTGTAGAAACAAGTTAAGCGCTGTATTACCAGGGACACACACACACACACACTAAAGATAGTTTGTAAAAAACATTTGACTAAAGAGCTTTAGAAAATGGTAAAACTTAAAGCTATGTTATAAATGCAGGCATTCAATATTAAAACAAACCGACAAAGTAAATGACAATAAAATCTTTAAAAAAAAAGGAAAAAAAAAGAGATTGATAAAGGTAAAAGTGATTTTGAATTAAATTAGACAAAAATATCAAAGATAATCCTAAATGTGTTTATGCATAAATAAATATTGAAGCAGTCATAAAAGATTCAATTAAAGCAACAAAAAACTGTTAGTAGTTCAACTTTAAAAAATTAATTGAATACTGCAAGTTATGTATATTTTGATCAGTATTTTTAAAAGATAAGAAACTGGACCCTGTAAGTTTTTCTTTAAAACATGATAATTTTTGCATCGATTAAAGTTTTAACGACACTGATGTTGAATATTAGTTAGTAAACCTTAATGTTAAATCATATTATAGTGGTGTTCAGGCTTTTGGAGCCACCTTTTTTTTATGGCTCGGCTCCGGTTCTTAGGAAATATCCGGCTCCGGCTCTCGAACTTTATGAACAAAAATTGCAAGTTTTGGAAATTTTTGGTTGCAAAGCTGAAACTTGGGGTCAGTGACACATTTTTCAGTAGCCATGGTTTTTTGAGAGGAGTAAAAGTTTATCCATGAGTCGTCTCTCATATAAACTGTGGTAAATCTGGGCATCCAGTCTCTACGCAGCGCAACTAGAAACTTGGATCAGTGATCAACATTAATGGATGACGGGACTCTATGGGTAAGGAGATATAAAGGTCTTATCCGAACGTATCTTAAGGGTTTATGGGCCTAACACCCCCATAATTCTGGTACACATTTATTGACCATTATGAGCATTAGAATCACGATAGGTGACGTACCCTCGGTAGGAAAAGGGGGTTTAACTGGCAATAAACAAACAGCAGGAGCTGATGGTGCTGAAGCGTATGTAGTCATACACCCTGGTGCCAAGGGTATTTGGTCCTGTCCTGTGTATTTAAAAAAGTTTATGATCGGAAAAGAACTAAGGGCACATTTGGCTCAAATTCATAAATTTGAACCGAGTGGAGTTCGGTACAGGTGTAATAAGTGTCCGTATGAGGGTGATGTCCAACCTAGTGTGGGAACACATCTGAGGTACTGTAAGAGTATTGTGAGAGCGGTAGAGGAGAAAAAGCAATTTGCTTGCGCGAGTTGTAGTTTCTCTTTTGATACCTTTTCAGGACTTCAGGTGCATGGGAACTGCGGGAGCTGGCGGTTAAGGAAGTAACAATTCCTTTCTTTGTGGTGAATATGGAGACCTTTGCTGTGCTAGGTATTACGACGCGGACTAAGGATGCTGTGAGGAAAATTCGCTATACGGATAGGTAAAATCTATCCTGGCTGAAGTACGCGTACAAGTTAACGATGTGACGGAGGAAGCGCCGCAAGCTAGTGATGAGGGTCAAATAACGCTCTTAGTAAAAACAGACAGGGGAGAAGAATTACAACCTGCTGCAATTAGTATAGCTGATTGAATTGAATTAGTTACTGATGTCGATGAGGTTGAAATGGCAACAGTGAATTCAACCAATGAAGAACAGCCTCTCAACCCATAACTTACCAACGGTAGTTGGCAAGAAATTCTCAACCAATGAGAGTTGGTTAAAAATTAACTGCAACCCATAACAATACCAAGGGTAATTGGTATAGTTATGGGTTGCAATTAATTTTTAACTAACTCTCATAATTACTTGGTTATTGCATCACTACTCTACTCTACTACCGGATATTACATTCGAAAAGAAAAATGTTTTGGGTAAACAAACACTTTGTTCTATATATTATTTACCCAAAATAAAGTTTTTAGTCTGAATTTTAATTCTAATTTTACCCAAGGAGCGCGTACCTAAAAAAGACGTCTTTTGAACGTCCCAAAGACGTCCAAAACATTCAAAAGGCATCCAAAACTTTCAAAAGACATTTAAAAGACCTCTTTTGTATATCCCATGCCCACTGGGTAAAACATGCTATTGTTAAATTCAAAACGATAAAAAATTCAAAAAAAAAAGAAAAGAATTAGTTCAACTAATGCAAAAACTTCAATATTTATTTTAATCTAAGGAACTTGAATATTATAAAAGTACTTTTATTTTAATATTTTTCATTACTTTGAATAGCGAACATTTTCGCTGATTGACAACATCAACTTCTGCACAGTCTTTTACAAATTTTTTCCCACTAATGTTCACTCTCTAATCAAATCTTTAGCTGTACTTATTGTTGTTAATAAAGAAAAGAAGCAAAAATAGGCCCGAACTAACAGAGGACATCGTGATTTCGATAAAATTGCAAAAGTCTAGCTTACAAGTATTCTTTGATGTAAACATCCGAGTTTAAAGTTGATGATGTGACAAAAGCTCGAGATCTCAAACCACAACTGCATATTGCTTGCCAAAATTTAATTTTTAAAAACTCTGAATCTTTATACCTTTTGGCTTGTTCTTTGTTCGATAAGTCGGGATTTTGATTGATGATCGTCGAATACTAATTGCTGCTTTCTTATCCTTACTCTTTCTTCCAGTTCCTTTGCTCGTTCGATAGATAGAGAGCTCATGTATTGTTTTATGGCCATACAAACAGTAGTTTTGCTAGATTCAGATGCTTTAGCAATTGAATTTATTTTTTACTTTATTTATTTGAGACATGTGACACAGACTGTGTAAATTAAATCAAAAAATCATTGTTCTACAGGGCAATGAAGAACTATGGGTAAACTTACATAAAAATACAAAATTCTTAACAAATCAATGTAATTTTAGGTAAAGCTACAGCTTAGCGCACTAAAACAATTTTATTTTTTCGCTCTTATTAGTGGAGTTTTTAAACATTAGAAATTTTAATTGAAATGATAAAAGAAAAAAGATTGCTACCCTATGCCAAATCCTCAGTCAATGTAGCAGCACTTCCTTGTAAAAGCTGGCTATTAGATAGTCGATGTAGCAACACCCCCTTGTAGCAGCAGGCTATAAGATAATGTATATAGTAGCACTCCTTTGTAGCAGCAGGCTATACGATAATAGATGTAGCAACACTCCTTTGTAGCAGCAGGCTGTAAAATAGTTGATGTATGCACTAAAGCCAATAAATATTCTTTATGCTAATATTAAAAAGTCACTACTTTGAGCAAGTCTCCACATGAAAGCCAAACAAGCGATAAAATAAAATTATTTTAGACCGCATAATTTAATTCAATTGTTAAAAGGTGCTGTTCTGTATTTATATCTGTGTTAAAAGATTGCTGTTCTGTAAATTAGTTTTTGTCTCACTAAAAGTTTCAAAATTTTTCTCCTCTAAAGATCATATTTTTAAACTACACTAAAAAATGGAATATGATCCCCCCCCCATCTATTTTATTTTTTAGACCACACCTTAAATATGCAGCAAAAGCAATGAATTAAAGATATAAATAGACTAAAAAATATACACCATAGATCAACTAGGATTGAAATGCTGAGAGAGCCCTTATGATTTTACAACAATATGTCCTGAGATTGCTAAATATGTATTACTGTTTAACAAATATGTTCAAAAAATATGTTTCAAATTAGAATAGACAGATTTTGAACAAATAACTTTTATATTTGTTATTATTATGATGTCAATAACTTAAAAAATAGCAAATTATTACTATTTATATTATATTATTATAGCAATATAGATTTTTTTTTTTTTTAGTTTTCAAGTAATCAGCTGATTAAGTTTTTAATTAAAAACTAAAAAAAAAGATATTCTGAAATATGACTTATAATATAGTTATTATAGAGTTAGGTACTCTAAAAAAACTACAATATTTTTAGAGTACCTAACTCATCACAGCTGTTTCACTCAATATAAAAGTGAGGTTGACGTCACAAAAATTTTTGAGTTTATAAAAAAAAAAGCGTTTCCGCATATATAGTATAAAATTCACTAACTTTAAAATGATAGTATTTTTTTTCTACAAACGCTTTCATCTTTAAATAAAAAAAAATATAAAAGATCAATCTTTCCTTGTTAAATAAATATTTACATTAAATGGACTATAGTAAAAGATTGTTAAAATATTGCTGATGATTTGAGATAACTTCTCTGTTTTTAGCAATTTTTACTAAACACCTGTCTTGGGTTCTATAACACAGTTACAGATTCTATAACACAGCTACATGCTTAACGGTTGAAATTAAGAACATTTATGAATGAGTGTCTATTTTATCATATTCTTACGGTACTGGTGTGTCCTTGTCAAAAAAATTTATTTTTATTGCATTTTTATATTTAGTTTTATTATTTATAGATGCAAAATATAACATTTTTGATCAGTAACTATTAAAATTTTAACCTTTTCTACATATTAAAAATTAAAAACTTATTTTTTGTACCTCTAGCTACATTTTAGGATATCTTACAATCTTAGTATGTTAGCAAGTTTTTCTAGTTTTTTGCGAAAACATTTATTTATGTTTTTAAAGCGATGACATAAAAAATTAAACGTTAAAACATTTCTCTGTTTCATTTTACATAAAGTTTGAGTAATATTTTTTTATTTTTATAATAATCTAACGTTTATACTTGATAATAAATGTAAGAAAGATGTTTTTCTTTTCTTTTTTTTTGATAAAAGGAAACAAATTAGTTTGTGGAAAATGCTCACATTTGTTAAAAATGGACATATATATATATATATATATATATATATATATATATATATATATATATATATATATATATATATATATATATATATATATATATATATATATATATATATATATATATATATATATATATATATATATATATATATATATATATATATATATATATATATATATATATATATATATATATATATATATATATATATATATATATATATATATATATATATATATATATATATATATATATATATATATATATATATATATATATATATATATAATTACTTTTGTTGCATATCTTTTGTGCTTGAACAAAATCTCCGTCTCGAAAGTTTTTCGTTACATCAGTGAATAATTGAGGGATATTTAATTCTTGTTTTGCTGCCATCTTATTTATGTGGTGATTTATTTCTTTTTTCTGACCTATTTGGAACAAACCACGTGAACTAAATTATTCCGCAATTTTTTTAGTAAACTTTGGACTTTTAATTTTTACGCAATCCTATTTAGTTATTTAGTTGTTTTCATTTAAGAAAGTTGTCATCTTTCAAGTTAGATTATTTAATACCAATTGAATAAAAATTATTATAAAGGAAATTTTTTCAAAAGTATTTTCATAAACTATATAAATTGAATAATATCATTATGGAAATCGGTTTTAGCGTGTAATAAAGTATACATTCATCGGGCGATAAATCTGTTGTTTTTACTAAAAATTTTAAAATTATTAAGACTGGACAACTCTTGGGCAAAGCATTCTTATTTTGGCTTGAATAATTCATTATCATTAAAACTTGATTAGGTAAAATATCAAATGTGTCTAGCTTACCTTCATTAGCGTCCGTTTTATATCTTTTATATTCTAACATGACATATTGAAGGAATGTAGAGTATGTACCCTTGATCCTAAATATGATATTTTGTATATTTTATGCACCCATTGGTAAGATGTACTATATATTTTTACATTGGTAAGATGTACTATATATTTTTCAGCTTAAAATTACATATCTTTACTTAACCTTAGATTATAAACTTTGTTAGCATTCTTATATATATTAGTTTGTTTTATTTTACAAACAGTCTTTAAATCAACCTCTACCAGATCATCAAGTAAAAAGAGTAAATTAAAAGTATACCCTGATGTGGTTGAATAGTTTCAAATTAGTCGATATTGTAAAACTTTCAAAAATCTTTTACTATGAGAAGTAAATTTGTCTGAGACAAATACCTCATAAAAAAAAAGGCTATTTTAGTATTGATCATCAAGTAAAAAGAGTAAATTAAAAGCATACCCTGATGTGGTTGAATAGTTTCAAATTAGTCGATATTGTAAAACTTTCAAAAATCTTTTACTATGAGAAGTAAATTTGTCTGAGACAAATACCTCATAAAAAAAAAAAGGCTATTTTAGTATTGAAAAAAATAAAAATAACATTAATTTTTATAGTATGTAGAAGCTCTATGCAGCATATAAGATAAAGATAAATAAATAAAAAATCTCCAGATTTTGCAGTCTTTAGCTTAAATGATGGATCTTTGCTTGTCCAAAAGGCACGCATTCTGTGTACATACAATACATTAAAATGTGAAATTGATATTGAATGCTGCAGGCCTAGATATTTCTTATCATGAAATCATTGAAATAATTTTCTGCTGCAGAGAATTGAAAGTTCTTGAAAAAGTATGACAATAAAATCTATAATAGAGAATGTGATCCCAAATAAAGAATTTTCTGCCAAATTTTCAAAATAGCATATCTAAATTTTGTTTCAAAACACCAAAACCATATTTTATGTTATATTAGCCAAACATCTCTTCTTTAATTTATTCTTCTTTCAAATATTTCAGGTCGGATGACTCTAGTAATAAATTAAAGCATAATCTATGGTAACGGAGCAAAAGTTTGTCTTGACCTTTATAATATCAAAAAGTAACCATCAATAATTTAAAATGAGTTATTTCTACATTTTTGGATTGAACACCGTCAAATGTACTCATTAAAAAGTATCACTGCAAAACCCATAATGGCAGACAGAAAAGGGCATTTTCAACTGGATTTTAAAACTTTATATCTTTTTAACAATTTTTAGTTAAGTGCTTAAAATAAGTTAGATTTAATATTAAAAGATTTGAAATTCAGAGTTAAAATTAAATTAGTTTTACATTATTTCATGTTTCATAATTAGTTATCCCTGGTTGAAATTTGAAGAAAATATAAAGGGGTTGATGAAATGGTTTAAATTTACATGGTTAAATCCAAATATAAATTTTTTAATTTATCTTTTTTCTCTATTGTTTTGTATTATTTCTTTACTAAATTTAATTGAATAACTTTTTTCTAAGATTGCTTTGAATCTTAATATTTGGTAAGATTCAAAATAATTTAATTACCCCCTGAGTTATTGCAAATGATAAAAATTGATTATGGCAAATTTTGAAATTAAACTTAATTTAAATTTAAAATGAAATACAGTGGAACCATGTTAATGTGAAACTGTAATAATTAAAGGAAAGAATTATAAATATAGGATAACAGAAATAGTTTGAATTAATAAATTTTATAAAAATTTTAACATATTTTTTTAAATTCTTCGTAGTTGAGCAGTAATATAAAATGTATAATAAAACTCGAAAAAATTTATCAAAGAAACTTTTTATAAAACCTTTTAAAATTATATTTTTTCAATTTTCATTTTTAATATTTAATAAGTATTTCAATATATTTTTACTAGATATATTATATAATGAATGAACATAATTGGATTCGTAGCATGAGGAATAAAGTAAATAAATTGTGTAATAATGTTACATTTAATACTATATACCAAAAATCAAATGAAAGACTTCCACCTCGTTTAAATTACAGGGGGCTTTCATATATTGCCAGAGTTCTTGGACATGGAATAAGAGATATAGCTAAAGAAAAAACAGGAAAAGACCTGGCTTGTTTACGAGATAATGTTACTAGAAATAAAATGTTAAGACTACTTTCTGGTTTATTTTTAACAATCGCTAACTATGAAGCTAGGAAAGACTTTATGTACCTAGTTGAGAATCATAGCTCAAATTTTACATCAGCTTTATCCATGGATGGAGATGAGGGTAGTTGCAGTAAACAGGAATTTAAAAAACATGCAAATTTACACAATTTTATAGCTAATTACCACAAGATATGCATGCAGCAAGAACAAAACTTGGAAGACTTTCGTAATACAAAAAATAAACAAAAAGTAAAAACCTCAGACTCTAGCAATAGCCAAACATTAATTCATCAGAATGAAAAATTTAAGAGTTGCAAATGCAATATGATAAATTCTTTAAAAGATCAAAGTAAATGTTTTACAGGTTGTTGGTTGCACACTGGAATTTCAGAAACTGAACTTGACATGTAATATACTTTATTTTTTATTTTATTTTAGTGTTTATTTTAAAAGTAAATTTGTAGTATAAATTTATACCATATGATAGTATGCTATTTGCTATAAAGTGCATCTTATGGTGCTAAGATCTATGATCTACATTTTAAAAAATATTTTTTCAAGCACTGTTTCAGATTCTTAACTACTGTTTTTATGACTGATTACAGTAAAGAAAAAAAAGATGATTTTCAAAAATTACATTTAAAATTATGTTTAATAATGTTCTTGATTTCGTACAGTTTTAAATCATTTTATTATTATTATTATTATTATTTTACTATTTGTTGATGTTTTAATTTATGTCTTTTTTTTAAATTAAGTTTATTTAAAGTTAAAGCCAAATAAGTATATATTTTGCAAACTTAATAAATATTAAATTTAGGGGTACTCGTGGCACCTGTTTTTAGCAATCATTTACCTATATAAATTTTGTTCATTTTGAGATCAATAACATAAAAACTGTTTAAAGAGCAATTTATTCAGAATTAAGATTATGTTTATTCAAAGTCATACAAATATATAATAAATTATAATAAAGTGAAAATTTAAATTTTATTTATAAATTTTTTGAATTAATTAGCCCAGTTTTTACCATTTATATTAAAATGTTGCAATTAGGGGTTGTCCATAAAGAACGTACACCAAAAATTTCAAAATTTGACCCCCTCACCCTCCACCTCCTTAAAAGGTGTGTACATTTTTAAAATCTCTCCTCCCCCCGCCTCCCCAAAAAAACTTTTTTTTTCCAATGAAAAAGATTATGGAAAAAAAAAAGGTGGATACTTTATCCACTCTTTGTTTGCAGCACGGGATCCCAATTTAAAAAACGTCTTCAAATATATATGCAAATATTAATTTTAATAAAGTTAAATTAGCAATGTGTTTGAATAGTTAATGATATGGGCAGAGACTGGTGTTTGATTCCCGGTCATCGAACCATATTGTGCTTTTTTTTGTTTTAATGACGAATCAAATAAAAATAAACTATACTTAAAGCAGACGTTTTTTTCAGACACCCCTCTTTAGTAAGTTAGTAAAAAACGTTTCCTACGCAAGATCAGTAATATCAAAAACAAAGTCTAAAACCCTGCTGAGGTTAGGTTACCTTTACCCCTAATTTTAAGTGGGGGGGGGAGCAGAAAATTTTGTGCCCTTTGACTAATTCAAGGAGCTCTTTATATTAGCAAAACCTAGCAGTAAAATTTGGAAGATTTTGAGACCTAAATGACATGTTTTTTTTGGGGGGGGCTCCAACCTATTAGCCATGGCACTGCTAAAATCTGTTATTTGTCGACTCAAAAAATAGGTTGCCTGAAATACCCCTTACTCAGGGCCAGTATATAAGGGGTGGAATTTGTGCATGAACCCCCACATGATTTTTTGATGTTCTAGATAGGATACTTTCACACATTTGGCATAGGTATACTTAAGTTTGGAGCTTGCACAAGCTCCAAACTTAAGTATAAAAGTATTGTGGTCATCGAAGCAACCTGCCATCAGTTGAATCTTATCTCTTGCTAAATTTACCAGACTTGCTTGCTCTTTGAGAGACTAATTTAAATTCCGCTATTCCTTTGATATCTGATTCATTCTCAAAGACTTCAATAATCATATACTTGCCTTAAGGCTGTACAATAACAAAGTTTAGCATGTTGGCCTTCTTCATAAGCTTGCATCATATTGTGTACCTGGAAAAATTTTTAGGTTATCAAATTTTTTCATTCTAAACGTTTTAATAAAATCATCCTTGAAAGCTAACACTCTTCTACATTTTCAGTAACTTTTGGGTTACTTCAAGGTTCTATCCTTGATTCTGTTTTGTTTCTTTTTTTCATTAATGATCTTCCTGACAACCTTATATCTAAAGTAACTCTTTTTGCTGTTGACTCAATTTTATACTCTTGTCTTGAAAAAAAGTATTTTCTTTTTGATTTCTCAAAACAGTCTTACAACTTTTCAAGTTTTCTGTCAATCGTTTCCTTGCTCTATATCTTCTATAATTTTTTTTTTTTCTTTTTCTAATAACTCCCAACTTAATAGTGGTTGGTTGCAGCCTTGTTAGGAGTGAATCAGAATAAAATAATAATAAATTAATGAGAAAGTTGTTGATTAAATATTTTTTCATTTAGTCAGTAAATTTTTAAATTTAATAAAATTTTCATGAAATAATTGGTTTTAACAATTTATAAAAAACTTTTCTCACAAACTTATAATCAAGTGTAAAACTTTTATTCAAGTGTCTTTAATATAGATATCAAGGTACATATAATAAATGATTTTTTTGGTAGTATAAACCAATCAATTTTTTCAGCATTTTTATGAATTTTGTAAATTTTATCAAATCTCCATTTTTTTACTTTCAGTCTTTTTACATGTCCAAATATTTTTATTTTATACTTTTATCTTCCTCCGTATTTAGTGAATTTCAAGTTCTTGATGCAATCTAAAATGACATCTTTAACCAATAGAGTTACTCTCATCAACATTATTCCATACAAGGATGTAAAGTTCTTTAGAAATGTAGTGAATAGATTCAGGAAAAAAAAAAGAAAGTTCAAAATGTTGGAATATAGAAGTATGTTATTATTCTCAAAAAATAATAACATAATATGATTAAATTAATGTAGTTGATAATGTTTAATGAAAAGGAAGAGTTATTAAATATTTCCAATTTTTCGTAACAGTTTTAGATAATTGGTTTATGTAAACTATGCATCAATTTTAATTTATTGATGTAGATTGTTTGCACAATATTTTCAATAAAATACTGTTGTTAAAAAGATTTAGAAAATAGCTTTCTATTTTAGCCATTAGTCTAATATCTTTTAATATTTTCAATGTATAAAGTTTTTGTATATTTTAGTGTTAAATTGTTTCTATGTGACTTTATTTAGATATTTTTTATTTACATATTTCTAAAATAATAATTTATTGTTAATTAGGTATTACAATGACAATATATCCCAGTTTCAGTTGTCTCCGTCAGGAAGCAAATTAGTAAACACTGTTCCAGATGATTGGTCTGAATTTACAAGTAGTGAACATTGTATAGTATTTCGGAAGAGGCTACCTAACGGTCTCTATAAATACAAAGGTTAATGTTATAATTTTTTTTCAAAAATATAATGTAACACATTTTTATATCACTAACTTGTTTATTTTATTAAATATATATATATATATATATATATATATATATATATATATATATATATATATATATATATATATATATATATATATATATATATATATATATATATATATATATATATATATATATATAAGAGTGGTTCTAAAAACAACTTTTTTTGAAAATGACTGCTGGCACCCCCTAAATATGTTGTATATAATAGAAAAATGCTGGATTTAAAAGTTTTTGAACAAAAAATATTTTAAGGGGCTGCTACTGACCTTCTAACATTAAATAGGTTGCTAATATTGTTTTAAAAAAGTTTTTCGAAAGTATGTCATGTTGGGTCTCAAATGAAGCGAAATTATATAAAAATTTTAAAAATATCAATCATTTTGAAATATTATTTCTTGAAATTTTTACATAGTTTTCCTTCATTTGAGACCCAACAAGACATTTTTTTTTACAGGATGCTAATTGCTCATTCTATAACAATTAACACAAAAAAGTTAATTGATAAGTTTGATTTTACTTTTTTAATTCAAGGGTTGAATTAACGCATCGCGATTTGCAATATCTGTTAAATTATCTGGTCTTCAAAGTTTCAGTTTATGGAAAACCACGAAATTTACGGAATAGGCAAATAAACTTTAATTTGTTAGTGAAAATGTTATGAAAAACAAAACAATAAATTTATGACTACAAAATTAATAATACTACAGTGTTGTTACTTTTATAACACTCTTTTATGTTACATTTATAGTTTATTGTTTGATCCAACAACACATAATCAAGCTATTTTAAATAAAAATGATTTAGTTAAGTAATTCCAAACTTTAATTAAAGTAGTAATGCATCTAGAAAAAATACAATGGACATTTAAACAATGTTAAAAACCTCAGCAACTTTAACGAATACATATTTTTATAAACAGTTTAGCATTTCTAAACATCTTACAAACGGTCCGGAAAAAACGCGCGTTCACTTTAAAATCAACCAATGAAAACACTGGTAATTTACTTCTTAGGAGAAATTTATATTAAAAGGGGGGGGGGGAGGCTAAAAACTTAAATTTTGTTATCTTATTTAATCAATTAAATCATAATAAAGGTAAAGACAAAAAAATATATTTCTAAATATACTTCTTTATAACTAAAATTTATTAAATTGAACACCTCTGTTTTTAGTTTTAAGTAAATGTCAGTACTACTCTCAGTGGCGAAACTGCGGGAGGGGGGGAGGGGGTTAGCAGACAAAAAGTGTCCTATTTTTAAACTAATTTTAGGTTGCATGGGCAATATGGGGCTCATTTTGAAAATTTTGCTACTGACTACTCTAATGTGCTTAATACAAAGGTAGGTGGGGGTGGGAATTTTAGTCAGGATGTATAAAATGGGAGGAGGAAATAATAAAAAAAAGCGGGAGGATTTACAATGAAAGTTTTATTATTTATCGGTTACCAATATATATTTTTTTTAATTTAAAGGCCAATTTTCACTGAATTTTTGTTTTGAGATATAGTTTTTTGTTTACAACAAGTGACTTGTTATAAACAAATAACACGATTTTCAAAATAAGCCCCATATCGCCCATGCAACCCCCCCCCCCCCCATCCCGCAGTTTCGCCACTGAGAGTAGTACTGACATTTACATTTGTTTAGAAATGCTAAACTGTTTATAAAAATATGTGTTCGTAAAAGTTGCTGAGGTTTTTTAGCATTGTTTAAATATCCATTGTATTTTTTTTAGATGCATTACTACTTTAATTAAAGTTTGGAATTACTTAACTAAATTATTTTTATTTATAATATCTTGATTATGTGTTGTTTGATCAAACAATAAACTATAAATGTAACTTAAAAGTGTGTTATAAAAGTAACAACACTGTAGTGTTATTACTTTTGTAGTCATAAATTTATTGTTTTGTTTTTCATAACATTTTCACTAACAAATTAAAGTTTATTTGCCTATTCCGTAAATTTTGTGGTTTTCCATAAACTAAAACTTTGAAGACCAGATAATTTAACAGATATCGCAAATCAAGATGCGTTAATTCAACCCTTGTAGTTGATAGTTAATTAGTAGTTTTTTTCCTATATTTCTCATTAATAGGCCTAAATTGATTGATTTTGTCAAAAAAACATTATATAAATATGACTTACCTGGAATTAGTTAATTATTATTTAATAAATAAACAAAAGTTAAGTTAGTTTTGCACTAAAAAGACGCAAAAAATGGGCAAAAGATGTATCACTCAAGGTGAAAGATGGCAATTTATTGCTCACATCAAAGTAGGAACCAAAAGTAATAGAGAAATTGCCAGGTTAATTGGAGTTTCTGAAAAATGCGTTCGGATAGCGAAGCAAAACTTTTTTCACACTGGTGGTGCCAGCGAGAAAATGAGGCCAGTAGACCCTTGTCAACCACCAGAAAGGGCTACAGTGTTCTTTTTAGAGCTGTCAGAGCTACTTCAAGAATTAGTTACAAAGAACTGACCACAGAATTCAATACATATCGAAATACTTTTATTTCTCAAAGCACTGTCTGCTAAATACTTATCAAATACAAGATTGAAGCCTACTCTGCTTTGAAGAAAACGCTCCTGTGTCCATATGATAAACAAAGGAGACTAAAATGGTGTCGTGAAAGAAGGTATTGGACAATAGAACAATAGAAAAACATGTGAAGTGATGAGAGTAACTTTGAGCTTATCAACCGCAAATCTAACATAACAGTCAAAAGAATGGCTTACGAATGGCTTACAGGTACATTGAACCAACTGTACAAAAATGGAGGAGGCTTGATAGGAATCTGGTCATGCTTCAATTACAAAGGTGTTGGTATGTACCAAACTTACACCGGAAGAATCAACTCCAAAATATACTTAGAAGTACTGGAAAACAGATTAATTCCATCAATTGACCTGCTTATGCTCAATCATAAATCATGGAAACTTCAACAAGATGGCGCTATTGTACATATTGCATACTATACAAAGGAGTGGTTCAATGATAATAGTTTCAAGACAATACCGTGGCCTCCATATTCACCTGATTTGAACACAATTGAAAACATTTGGGCTTGGATTGACCATGAATTGGCAAAGGTTCAAAATTCCACACTTGGCCAGCTGAAGGACGTCCTTAAAGAGACCTGGTATACGATGTGCAAAAGTCTTGTTGAGTCTATGCCTAGAAGAGTTCTTAGTTGTGTTAAAGCAAAAGGCGAATGCACAAAATATTGATTGGTTTATAAATTACGCCTCCTAATGTATTGTGTATCTAAATTTATGAATAATTTTTTTTTGTCTTATTTTTTTAATACCATGTAGTTTTACCTAAATATTACTTAGTATTTGTATTTTTTTTGTAAATTTTTTTTTTAATTCTGTATTCTGTATGTATTTATCTATTAAATAGAAAAAAAAAAACTAAACCAAATTCTTTTTTTGTTATTGTTTTATCGTTAAAAAACTAAATATTTCTATTCTTAAATATGAGTGCGCCTAAATTTATGAAAACCACTGTGTGTGTCTGTGTGTGTGTTGTTATATATATGTATATATATATATATATATATATATATATATATATATATATATATATATATATATATATATATATATATATATATATATATATATATATATATATATATATATATATATGATTAGATACCTTCTTGGGGTAATATTTAAGAAGTATTCAAAAGTTTTAAACCAATATTTATAATCTAGACTGCTTATTGATTTTGAAATATTTTGACTTGTGCAAATTGTGACTTTTTTTATTATTGCTACACAAAAATTAACTTGTCATAAATTTGAATGAAAGTTATAAAATATGACTTTTTTGAGGCCCAGGCTAACAATAAATAATAAATTATTACAATTGTTATTATTTTTAGAAATAATTTATTATTGAAATGTCATTAAATTTGTGAACTGACTTGTTTGGTATTTTTTGGTTTTTATTTGGTATATTTAAATGATTGTTTGATGTTTTTTATATCAAATAATTTTAGAAAAATGATTATAAAAAAATTAAACATTAAATCCAAATAAATAACTTTGAAGAAAGTTTTTTTTCATTGACTGTATTTTACAACTGTTGTCATAAGTAGTTTTATAATTACAAAGTAGTTCATTGTAGATAAGGATGGATAAAAAAGAAGTTTTGATAAGTTTATCATATCAATGGATTTTAAATAACAAAGCAAAATCAGCTGCAGCTTTAAATAAATTGGACCAAGATTTTGAACTGTACTTTATTATATTTTATTATATTTTAAAAAGGCTATGAAATTACTAACAGGAAAAAGTTATACCCAATAAGTTAAGATCTGGCAAGTTGCAAAAATAATCAAAAATAATGTGAAGAAAGTATATTTAACTTTATAAAAAGCTTTGGAAATATTCTTCATTCATGAAGCCTTTTAAACTTTTAAACTGATCACACCAAGTGTTGTTGAGCATAGATTTTTTGCACTTAATCTTCTTAATACAAAGTAGAGAAATTATCTGTATCTGTGTTATTTTTCAATAAGTTAATGTTTTGATATTGCTGGTCCAGATGAATTTGATAATAAAACATGGAATGAAATTATTTATAGGTTTTGAAACATAAAAAAACAATTGAAAAATCCATTATAACAGTTTAGTTGTAATCCAATTTATTGAAATAAAAAATACTTATGATTATTATTAGTTACATATATGTTTACCTAATATGAATTTAATAGTTAAGAATAATTAAATAATTAAAGTAAAAACCATATTGTAAATTCAAACTATAAATAATTATTTTTTCTTTTTTAATAATATTTAGTTCAAGCTACATTCTATAACATTACGGCGAATCACCTCTTCAATGTTCAAGTAAAATATTTCTATGATATGTAAACTTTTCAATAAAAAATTTTTGTTACTATAACTTTATCAGTTGTTGTTTGTTTTTTCAATACTTTCGTTTTCACTTATTTTTTTCAATACTTTCATTTTCACCTATTTTGATAGATAAATACTGAATATCGTAAATCGTGGGATCCATATGTGGTTAAACTTGATCTTGTTGACTCAAATGATGAAACTAATTCACAACTTGTTCATTGGGTCACAAAGTGCCCATATCCTTTTTCAACTCGTGAATATATTTATTTACGGCGTTACAAGGTACATAGAACAACGAAGTTGTTTATTATTTAAATTTTTTGTTAATATTTTATAAATGGTTCCTTTTTTTTGGCAGATAGATGATAAGAGAAAGGTAATGATTTTATGTCAATCAGCAACTGATAAGTCTACAATACCTTATAGTAATGGTGTAGAAAGAGTCGATATTTATGATTCAAAAATGATTATTAAGCCACACAAAAGTGATTTTAACCAGGTTGATTTTTGTACTCAATACTAGTTTTTGCTTGCTTTATAGTGTCATATTGCTTTATGTTATTTTAAATAATTTAACAATATTATTATTTATAGAATGGATGTGATTTTTTATTGACCTATTATGACGATCCAAAGATAAAGTTTGTTCCGGAGAGAGTAATGGATATGGCAGCATCTAGGGGTAAGCCTCCACTTAATTGTTCTTCATATTATTATCTTAGACGTGTTTCTTTTATCTAGTTATTTATTAACATGTTTTTGCTAACTTGTATGCTTTTTTTTTTTAAGTTAATGTATGAATTAGATCAAAGTAATTTTGTTTTTTAAAACCATCAATTATATAAAAACTCTTTTTTTTTAGGTATATGTGAGTCTACTAGTCAAATGTACAATGCAGCATTAAGGCTTGCTCATGTAAGCTAAGCCTTAAATTTCGATACTGAAGCATATGTTGTATCATACTCAGCGTTGCACCTTTTTTATGTCAGAACCAAAACATTTTCTAGAATTTAATAATTTTTTTCGATTTTGATATTTATTATATAAAATAAATAAGTAAAAATTTTTAATTTGAATTTTTTAGATTTATAATTTATCTACAGGTAGTTTTTGTAAGTTTAAGATTTCGTACAGGTGATTTTGTACCCTGGATATATTGTTGATTTTTTTACAAAAAAACAAACAAGCAAAAAAACAAAAAAAAAATTACTTTCAACTTCTAAAACAAAAGTTTCTAACAATGATCGTCCGTTTTAAAGAAAAATTATTAAATGAGTGTGTATGTGCGAATATTAGATAATTAAATGAGTGTGTATGTGTGTATATTAGACCTGAAAGTAACTCTTTCAATACAACGATGCGAATAAAGTTATATTAAAGTTATGCGAATCATTTATAAAAGAGAAGTAAAATTAAACTGGGCTAAATTGTTTAGCTTCAAATACAATTAATATTTTCTTTACAAGAAAAAAATTATTGTTTTATAATATTTTACTTTTTTAAACTGGATATAAAACCTAAGAAAAAGTATTTGGAAATCTTTAAAAAAATCTATATTATATTTAATTTATTTTCATTAAAAAAAACATAAACATATTGTTATAATTGTTAAATTGACTTAATTAACATTTAATTAAAATATTTTAAAAAATGTAAAAAATCTTATTAAAAATTAAATTTTTAATAATTCAACTTGGGTTCAAGTCAGGTCCACGGTATTTTTTTTCATGCATTAAATACTTCACCGATTCTGTATTTTTTGGGTTAAGACGATTGACTTGCAAATAGAAATTTCATATGGTACTAAATGTTGTTTAGAGTTAGTAATGTCTCTTTGCAAGATCTGCGATAGTATTTGCACTTGACGAAGTCTTGTCTCGATTTTTAATAAATGTTTTTACTTGAGTTTTATCAAGACCTACACTGGCCATAATATAGTTTTATCTGGAGCTTCACTAGCTATAATATAGGTTTATCTGGAGTTACACTAGCTTTAATATAGTTTTATCTGGAGTTTCACTAGCTTTAATATAGTTTCACTGGCTATTATATTGTTTATAATAAAGGCTATAATAACGTAGCTGTAAATTAAATTAGTAGTACTAATAAAATAGACTTAAAACTGTTGTACCTTATAGATGGTTATAATTTTGTCCATAAATTATTAAAACAAATTTACTAACTTCAATATTCTTCAATTTATTTCAATATTCTGTAACCGTTGTCAGAAAATCATCATTTGTGATCAGTAAAAAATGAGTAAAATCGGACAAGAATTACCCTTTGCAGCAATTTTTGGCCAAACTAGGCAAATTTTCCATATTTTAAATTTTTTATCCCGAATATTGATTTGTAGTATTCCTTTCGAAATTATTATTTCTAGTTTATTAACATGTTATTTTAAAGGAGTTGAACAGGTGAATTTATTACATAATATTAACATACATAAAGAAAATATTACTAAATAGTGTTATAATGTGTCTTGGTGTTAAATTTTAGCATACTTTTTTTTAATTGCAGGCGGACACGTATCCATACTATCTCTTTTTGATTCGCCGCAAACCGAGGCAGAAACAGCTGTCGCCCTCTTTACACAAACGTTCTACAGGTTGCGTGTGGCAAACTTCTACACAAACGTTCTATAGGTAACTTTTCCAAAAGATTACTAAGTTGAATGCAATTCTCTTTTGCTTCTTTTAGTTCCTCGTCAGCGAGCTGCACTAAAATTGAAAGTCGGAACTTTGAATTGCCGCACACTAGTTTGATTAGTATTTAGACTTCTATCTTCTCTAGCTCTCTGTATACGCCTAACACCTAATTTTTGAATTTGTGGCTGTTCATCTGATATCATTACCAAAAGAATATTTTTTTGATGGCCAAAGAATGCATTTGTTTAAATAACTTTGTCTACTACTTTTCTGCATCTGGCAGATACCGTGATTTAACTATTGCGCTGCATAGATGCATCCTGCCATAAAAAACAGAAGACTACTTTTTGTTGATGAATCACATAGGAGTATAAACACGCATAATATATGTTGTTATAGTTACTAAATTTGATGAAGGACTGGTGGTAGAAATACAAAGTCTAAGGATTCTGTTGGCTGTGGTGTGCCAGTTTTTAAGAGCTGCACTTTCCCAGATTGACAGAACAAGTGCCTATTAGTACAGCTTGGCAGATGTCAATAAGATAAAGCCTGATCTGTACTGAGCACTTTTCTGTTCAACTCTGATATTTCTACATTATGGTATATAGGTTGAAAATTAACAACCTTAAAGATCTTATGAGTTTCAAGTGATTTTCCAATAGAACCTAAATAGCATCTAGGACCAGATGTTGGTCCATCCAATTCTGAAAACAAATGACGTTTTGGTCACCAAATTACTTTTGGTAATTACTTAGATTTATTTGAAGAAAAAATCCGTGTTGCTCGTGAGAAATATGCTGATCCTGATTGGTCGTTTATTGAATATTTTATTGCACATGTAAGTCCTCATTTTTTTAGAATTTTAAGACATTTTGGTGAGTGAAAACTCATTTGCATGTAACAAACAAATTATCCATTTTAGAGGTTGTTGGAGTTCTAATTCAATCAATCTAACTATACCACTCTTGTTTCTAGTGTTTACATTTGTTCCATCACAGCCAAGCACTTGCAAATCATCGAAAATGATATTATATTTTTTAGAGTACGTAAGAATTTGAGATTTCATAACTTCTGCTGTTCCGCTATGAGAAGTACAGTGTCCCAAAAAGCCCCCTCCAGGTTCCTGAATCAATAATATGTGCTTTTATATTAGTATATCTCACTCTTATATTAATTGCCGCTGTGGCGCAGTGGTTAGAACGCTTGTTCTAGTAGCAAGTAATTCAGGTTCGAAAAGAGCTCTGGACATATTTTTGCGTTACGGTAAAGAAGGAGGCGAAAACTTCCTGGTTAAATGCACTTCCGCGGTGATTTGTGACAAGATCGTTAGGTCTTCTTGGGGCACCTAAAATAATTTTTTGTCATCATTTGAAATAATGCCAATATCTTTAAGTACAGCTGATGCTAAAGCTGCAGCAGATCTGAGAGTCCATGGCGCTTCCAGACAAATAAAAGAGAAGGGAGAGATAATCGCATTTGCTTTAAAGATGATAATGATGGAGCAAATATATCATATGCTGCATCACGTCTAGTCCTGTTGGCAGTTGCACCTCAGAGAGCGGCTTTGAAAACCCAAACAATGTATGATCTATTTTAGATCTTAACTTTATTCTATTTACTGAAATATATTCATCAAAGTTTTAGTAAATTATAGTATTATCATAGTATAAGTAAACATAGCAAAGTATTAAACTCTCCATAGAAACATGACATGTAAACACAAACCATATTCAATTTATTAGTATTCTTAATAAATATATTATACATTATAACGAATTTACTATTTAATAATAAATAATACTCTTACTTACAAACAAAATATTCTTACTAACATTTAAAAATATGGTTTGAATTGAAACTTCGAGTAGAGCATTTATTTTAATAAATTTTATGCCAAATATTCAATTTTTTCAATTGAAATATCTTTCTTTTAAATGTGTTTTAAAAAGTTTCAATACAAAAGTGATTATTTTGGTCATAATACTAATGGATAATTTAAACATACCTAATATGTTTTCACTTTTTAACTTCTACTTAAAAAAATAATTTTTAATGTAAAACTTGCGCTACCGATAATAAGTAGTATTAATCAAAAATTGCTGCAGGGGGTAATTTTTTTCCCATTTTGCTTACTTTGGTCTCTCTTTTTTTAGTTTTCTTATAGCTAATATAAAAATCAGGTTGAAAAGTTGAATTTCTGAAAAATGTTACTTTCACTTCACCCTATTGCACATCTTAAAACCATAATCTGAAAATATTGGTAGTTCGATTTTGAAATATTTAAAGACACTGTTTTGAGACACAATATTGAATATTTAAATTAGTTATTAGCAACAATAAATATTAAAATGACTATTAAAATCAGTTATACCAATAAATATTAAAATAAATATTAAAATCAGTTATCAGCACCAATTAATATTAAACTAAATCAAAAAATTAAAATTTAAAATTTTTATCATAAGATAGTTATTAATTACATAGGAGAATTATAAAGAAATCATAAAACTAATTTTATCAAATAAATTGCTTATAATGACTACAAAATTTCAAAAAAAAAAACAAATTTTTATAATATTGATAATAGTTTTTATAATATTTTTATAATATTATTAAACATGATATATATATTTGATGAACTGAATTCACACGTTTATGCAAAGTAGTTATCTCGTCAACGTTTTTCAGTAAAGTTTTATTTGCATTGCAAATAAAACTTTACTGGAATCCAAGAGAATTGTTTGCCTCGTTATATCCAAGAGAATTGTTTGCCTCGTTATATCCAAGAGAATTGTTTGCCTCGTTATATCCAAGAGACAGCGCAGCTTGCGTTAAAGTTATACGATTTTTAAAATATTTAAAAACATTTAACAGATAGTGTAAGATGGGGTAGTTTCTTTAAATTTCATAAATTGAGAACTAAAAATGAAAATCGGAATTTTTTTTTATTGTTGATAAGATTTTTATAAACTTTACATATAATATTTTTTTTAATTTTTTCTTAAATAAATAGAACAGAAAAAGTGGGGTGGCGAAATTTCCCCAATAAAATCTAATTTCGGGAAATTTCGTCACCTATGTTGTTTACAACATAAATGTTTTATTTTAAATTATAAATCTTAAAAACACATTTACAATCAGCTAAACAAAAGAAATATTACAATATTCAATAAATGGAAGCATGGCCATCGATACCGATAGATATAGGGGCATGTCCCAATCTACCTTTTTTACCTATTTTTTTTTTTTTTTTTTTTTTTTTAGAAATGTAGTATCTTTTAGGAGATTTGTTAATGAACCAGCCCCAGCTATTCTTTCTGGATATTGAATTCTTTTTCCTAGTGTCCTTCGAGGTATACAGCATAACTCTGCAGCTCGCTTGCAACTCAGTTTGCCAGCTTTAAATTTTGTAATGGCTTTTT